GCCACATGTCAAACAACTTTTTAAAATAAAAACTTATTTATTTGTATTATAAATTAGATATTTTATTTTAAATAGAAATAGATAAAACAATAAATCAAATACATTTTTCTATTAGGATAATATACATGTAATATTTTTTAGTTTAAGTTTAAATATCCAAAATTTTATATTTATTTACATACTTCTATGCTCTCTCTCCATTCTACGCAATTTAAAACTTCAATAATATTTTTCACAAAACTTATTTGTTTTGCCTTTTCATTAGAAAAGATAAATTATTATATTTTTCGATATGTGAAATAGAATACGACAATATATTAGTTTTCTGAGCTTAATATGATTCATTCTGACTCGATTTTTTGTTTGTTGTTGACAACATTGATATGAGGTGTAGTAATTTATTTTTTCACTTTTTGCTTGGTTTTTTTTACGTTTAATAATTACTAAAATGGTAAAACTAAAATTCAGATTTTTTATGCAACTTAATTAATTTTATCGAGGTATTTTTGAGTCAATCAGTTAGATTTATACAAGTATAAAATAATTTTCTAGATTAGATTTAACCACATTTCAAAAGATTTATCTATTTAAAAATAATAATATCTTGATTTGGTAAATAGTAAAATATAATCCTACTTTAAATAGGATTTAAAATATTTAACTATTTGAATATATATGATACAATTTAGTTGAAAATCAAACAATGTAAAAAAAAATATAAGAATACAATAGATAAATATTTGATAGACCTCTGTATAAATGATTTCGTAATAACGTTTTCAATTTTATTTTATTATTTGATTGGAGTGATCTAATTTTGTCTTTTGTCTTTTCGTTTTTGATTTTTGCAAGTTATAAAATATTCAAGAGTAAAAATAGTTCAAATATAAATATAAGAAATAATCCATCAACAGTTTCAAAAGTAGATATTTGAAGGGACAATTGCAAAAGTATCACTTTTGGTGTGTACATTTGTAAAAAAACCACTATGGATTGTCTATTTGCAAAAATGCCACAAACTATAGATTTTTAGAGCCTAAATATTAAAATTCTAAACCCTAAAAAATATTTTGACCCCTAAAATTCTCTAAACTTTCAAAACTAAACCCTAATATAACATAGTTAACCTAAACATAAATGATATAATGAACAAATAATTTTGAAAAAGTGGCATTTTTGCAAAGATTTTGAAAAGATGGAATTTTTGAAAAGTGGTATTTCAAAAGTGGCATTTCTTAAAATTTCTCATATTTGAATAGTAAAATAAGATTAAAAGTTAAAAAATATACCAAATTTAAGCAGGACTAAGAAAAAATAATGATTTTAAAAAATGTGATAAAATTTAATTG